CTTGTACTGCATTGTTGTTTCGATTTTCTGACTGTCCTCCAAACAACATCTCTAGAATAATGAATGAATCCAATCCATTATAAATTGTATTAAATATGCCAAATAAGATCAGCATTTGTTTCTTAACATGGAAACAATGACCACGGATGCTCCTGTATAGCAGATGATGTGAACCAAAGCGTGGTCGCCATGGGAAATCCGATGGCGCCATAATTATGGTAAATTTTTGGTAATACTGGAGTAGATGGCTAACACCAGAAAGATTTGTTCAGTTTCGTTAATTTTTTCCATATGTTATTTAGATGATAGTAATAAAAATGGTATGACAACTTTTTATTTTAATCATAAGTATTTTTTTACTTTTTATTTAGTTGTTCTCTATCTACAATCATAAATTACCAGTAGTGTGCAGGGTATGAAGGATGAGGGATATTGTGGGGTAAAATACAGTAAAAACAGATCATATGACACTAAAATGATATCTCTTATGTTCTTTGTATGTTAAGAAATTAATTATTTATCATAAATTTTCCGCTAAAAATCTATTGTGTCGGTGTGTGTTGCCGTCAACTCTTTGTTTATCCTCGAACCGAGCATATTCTCACATCCACAAAAAGTGTAGAATTACACTAAGCCGCTTCAAGAAAGTTCCTTTACTGGTACCAAATAACAAAGTTTGTACTTTCTGTTTAATATGGTGGGGGGGTTGCGCCTCCATGGCCAGGAAGTTAGGTAAGGTTAGGTAGGTTTGTTTGGTAGGTTAGGTCACGTTCTATTTGGGTCTGTGCATTGTCTTATAATTTTTATTACATACTATCATCCAAAGAACATTTGTGGAAAAAATTAACAAAATCAAACCTCATTCTGGTGTTAGCCATCTGCTCCAGAATTACTAAATATTTTATTTTATGCTTACAAGGGTCGTTGAGACGTGAAATTACTGCCATATGATCAGTGTTAGCAATGTATTTACCCTGTTATTTTTGTTTTCTTTCATGCCCTGCCCACTATCAAGTAATTTATGATTGAAGGATAGGCTAAAAAGAAAAAAAAATACTGAAATGTTGTTGCTTAAATTTTATTGCTTATTATCATCCAAACTTAAGAAAATTTGGTGCAATTCCATAAAGTTTTTCTGGTGCTACCGTATCCATCTCCTCCACCTTTACAGAGGCTTCTTTCTTGCCTCTAAAATAACTATTGATATGAAACGGCAAGTGACAGCATCTTTATGTATTCCATCATTCTGTTTTGTATGAATATTTTCAGGGCATGTTTCAGTTTTAGTCAATGTTATAGCAAAAATAAATAAAAAAATCCAGCATATGCAATATGATTCAAGAATATTTGTTTATCTTTGAAGTTGTTCCAAAGATTCTAATCTGTGTGGACGGTATTGATGCACAAAATTTTTTACTTTCAGACAAAAACATGAGATTTGGAAGTTGAAATTGTATATTTTTCCAATGTTTTTTTTTATATATTTTGAATGATTTTGACTTTCATTTCTATTGGAAATCACTATTTTTGAGATAGCTTCCCCTCATATCAGAATCTAGTGTTTTCCAATATAAAACCAAACCTAACTTACCTAATCACTAACTTGGGGGCTTTGCCAGTCGACACCCATTTTAATAGAGATGTTGAGACACTTGCTGACCGTACGGTGGCCTCACTTCTTTTGCAGCTAGTGGTTTACAAATAAAAGCAATTTCCTAGGCTCGAGGTGAGAACCTTCAAGCAAAGTGCCTTTGTAATTTGAAACAAGAGTACACCTCTTTCTTTTCGTAGTTTTTGTGATGGTTTGATAATGTTCACAGTACCACTGAGGCTTATTTTCCCTTAACATGCAAGGCTCTTGATAATGAGGACACTGAACTTCAGTAGGTAGAATGCCGTGTGATCTCTAGAACTGTAAGTATCACCATTAACTCCATACTGTAGTTATTCCCGTAGAACCTTGCTATTGCTGACTGGTAGTTGATCACACATCCAGAACACGGGTTTGCCATCTTGGAACTATTTAAATTCACCCGCAACTCCCACCCACACACCATGCTGAACTGTGATTGGTTCAAACAAAAAGAAAACCACCAATAGACTCATTTTAGTTATGTAATAAAATTTTTAATATCTTGCTTATTTGTAATTTGCACCAGTAATGCCATAGAAGAAAAGTGTCTTAGAATTGTCAAAACTACCTACCAGGTACTGTAAAGATAAAATTCTTAAGATTCCTGTGTTGTCCGAAAGTAAAATAATACCATATTATTTATCACTGCACTGTACAGTATAGTATGTACTGTACAGTACTTTTAAAACTGTTTGGTCTCAACTCCTGTCATTTTACAAATACAGTACTGTAATAGATGCTTATACTGTACACTACAATACAGTATCTCTTTTATCACATTTTAAGTGTATTTTGAAGGATGTAACATTTTTATAATGGTTTTACAGATTCTTCACTTTAAATGAAGACACCCCAATGGTACTGAGTTTTGTTGACTACCGTCGCTTTGGTAGATGGGAAGTTAAGGACACTTGGGGTCTTGACCGAGGACCAGACCCAATGTGGGAATACCAGAGCTTCAGAGAAAATGTCATGACTCATCTCAACCTTGCTGCCTTCAATAAACCTATATGTGAAGCAATGCTGAATCAAAAATATTTTAATGGTATTGGAAACTACTTAAGAGCTGAGATTCTTTACAGGTATGTATATGTAAATTTTATCTTTGTTTTCTTATTGTGATTTATCAAGATTTTCATTAACTTGTAGGTTTTGTTGCTGTGAGTATCGCTGCAGTACAGTGCTATATTAACTCTTCCTTCTTTTGGGTTCATTACTAAAATATCCTTTACTGTACATTACTGTGAAATTTATTTGAAGACAAGTCAGTCCGGAAAGGGGACGTGATTGCTGCCCGTATCATCATTGGGTATGACTTTGCTTGGGAGATTGGTATCCCCGCATCCCCTGAGCAACGCTCTTGTGCGTTATGCAGAAGACCCGACAGCAGCACCCTTATTCACTACCTCCTAAGATGTCCCCACACACAACGCTTCCGTGATGCCTGCTGGACCACCACTCCACGACCCCCTGACGGAGACACGATGATCCTCCACATACTGGCCAGATATTTTGTAAATAATATTGATTATGTGTTAAAGGAATATCCTTCCTTCCTTAGGCTTTAGTAAGCCCCTTTATAATATTTATACTGTATGTACTTGTCACACTTGCCAGATGCTTCTGGTGTCATTGTACAGGGGTACCTAGTGACAGCACTAGGATCCCGCTTCCTCGATCAAGGAATAAACAATTGAAATTGAATTTATTTGAAGACAAGTCAGTCTCAAATACAGTTAAAGTAAAGCCAAAGATTAAAATAACTTAATATAATGAAGTATAACTACAGTATTTACAATAATGAAAAAAATAATTAAATTGGAGGTTTACTCTGTGTGAAAATTTACCCATTGACACAACAAAACACCATTATTGTATCAGAAAAAATCCTAAATAAAGCAATTAAATCAGTTACAATATACTGTATATTACTGAGACCAATGGAGCAAAATCACTATAATATAAGAGAAGACAGCTCACACAATACAATTACTAACAGTACAGTATACAGTACAGTACTCATCACTACGGAGGAGGAAATGTGATCCACAGCCGGCAACCATACTGTCCACAACCTTACTAATTTGTATCGGGTAGTTAACCTAACACCAAACCTCGAATGAATGAGTTGTGCCAATAACCCCTTGAATAAGAAGTCGGCTCTGAGCTGAGCAAAATCGTATGGCATTAGCCAAATAAAATATCATGGGTAGCATTCCCGTAATGAAGGGGTTAACCAAAGCGTCTACTCATCCAATGTGGTCAGTGAGACATCCTAATGTGGCAACTCTCAGCAGTCCTCTTCTTGGTTTTGGACTCAATTATTAGATGACAACTATCAACCAGAAAACATTAATGCCCGCTGCATTATTTCATAGGTAGATAGACAGATACAGTGGTCCCTCGGTTAACGAGCACAATCTGTTCCAGCAGGTTGCTCGTTAACCGAAAACTCGTTAACCGAAACCATTGTTTCAATGGGTTTTTGGGTAATTGGTTCCAGCTCACTGAAAATTGCCTAAATTCAACAAAAAAGGTAGAAAAGTACACTTACTTTGAGGTGTGTATGTAGAAGGCTCCTGGATGATGATGATGATGATGGGAATTAGAATGGGGGTGGAGGAGAAGGAAGACGAGAAGGCATTGGGGGATGATGATGGGAATTAGAATGGGGGTGGAGGAGAAGGAAGACGAGAAGGCATTGGGGTGGAAGAGAAGTCACCCCATGGTGCCATTTCACCCATAAAATTTTAGCTCTCTTGGTGTAATTCAAGATTATTTTCTTTAAATCAACACTGCACTGCATTATATATTGTCAATATGTAAAATATATTTCAAAATGACCAATAATTTGCTTGGAAACACAGAAAAAAAGCGTTTAGTTGAAGAGAGTCTCAAGCAAGATGTTCCCTCCACTGAAAACAGAGAGAGACTAACGCCTGTCTGGTGTGTTAACAGGCTGGATGGCACGCCAGAAACTAGTTTCTTTACCTTCAATTCTGTTCAATAATTGTTAAAATGACTAAAAAAGTTAATATTAAACTTTTAAAATTATTGAATAGTATAAACTTCTTGATAGTTACTAAAATAGTAAGGAATTTAAGCCCTAAAACCGATTACTGTATTGGCGGACTAATACTACAGCTGGTGGACCGCCAAATGCAAGCGAAAACATGTTGAAGTCGGCTCGTAAAAAACTCGTTAATCGAGGGATTGCTCGTTAACCAAAGTTAAGAATCTTATGGAAGGTAAATCGTTAACCGAAATCTCGTTAACCGAGGCGCTCGTTAACCGAGGGACCACTGTACATATATTTAATACACAAACAACAGTAGGAATAAATGTAACATCTTGCTCAAAGAAATGCAATATTAAATTTACATCAATCCCCAAAGTAACAGAAACACAATATAAATACAAGAATACACAGATGAATTTTTACATACTGTACAAAACTATTAATTGCTTCTTACAGGATTTTAGGACAAAAACCCTTTTCTCCCAGAATTTAGATTTAATACTCACAGATACTCACAGATACTCACAGATGACCTTCTGGAAGAGGCTCACGCCTGTGACTCCAGCTCAGACGGTGGCTGTGTGTGGCGGATATTTGTGCCCTATAATTATATACTTGTTGTTGATTTTTCCAGTATTTATCTAATTTTGCTTCAAACTTTTCCACCGTCTCTACATTCACTACCCACTCAGGTAACCCATTCCAGTTGTTGACAACCCTACTCGGGAACGAATGTCTTCTGAGATTTAGCCTCTCTCTTGTTTTGTAGATCTTCTTTGTGTTCCCCCGGGTAGTGTCAACCTCCCTCATCTGGAACATTCCTGCTGTGCATGCCTGGTCATATATGCCACACACACTGTCTTGTATGTTTCCACTTGGTCCCCACGAGATCTTCTGTACGCCAGTGTTAGTAACTGTAATTTCCTTAGTCTTTCCTCATAAGATAAATCCTTGATCTGTGGTACTAATGTGGTAGCCCTCCTCTGTGCATTCTCTACTGCTTCTATATCCTTAATGAGACATGGGCACCAAAATTGATTAGCATACTTAAGGTGTGGCCTAACCAGAGCAGTGTACAGAGCCTTGAGTATAGGTGCATCCAGATGAACAAAAGTTCTTCTAATAATGCCCACTATTTTATTAGCCTTGTTGATTTTCTCAGCTAGATGGTCAGAGAACGTCAGCTTATCATCGATGACTACCCCTATATCCTTCTCTACAGTGGTCTTCTTGATTGTGGTGTACATATGATATCCCTGGTCAGCAACTTTTTTTCTTCCTATCCTCATGTATTTACTTTTTTCTGGGTGAAAGTTCATCATCCACTTCTCAGTCCAACCCCTGATCCCATCCAAGTCCTCCTGCAGCATGTCACAATCCTCATCTCGTTCTATTTTCCTAAAAATCTTTGTGTCATCCGCATATAGATATACCTCACTGTCGTGTTTAATTGCCTCAGGCAGGTCATTGATAAAAAGGACAAACAGCAGGGGGCCGAGGACAGAACCCTGAGGGACCCCACTAGTGACCTCTCTCCATTCAGATACTTCTCCATTTACCACAACCCTCTGTTTTCTCTTAGTTAAAAAATTCCTTACCCAATCAAGATATTTTCCATCAATGCGATAACTAGATACTTTTTCTAATAGTCTTTTGTGGGGCACTCTATCAAAAGCCTTCATGAACTCACAATACACTATGTCCACAGCCTGACTGTCATCGATAATTTCCATCCACCTGTCTAGTACCCTAATCAACTGTAGGACTGTTGACCTGCCGGAAATGAAGCCAAACTGTTTATTACTAAACAATCCATATTTTTTCATATGGGATATCATCTCTTCTCGTAATATTGACTCCATTAATTTGCAGATTACACTAGTTAGACTGACTGGCCTGTAGTTTCCTGGTTCACTTTTACTTCCCTTCTTATAGATAGCTGTGATATATGCAATACGCCAGGTCCTCAGGTATATTTCCTTCTTGAAAAGAGCTTTCAAACAAGATCCTCAGAGGCTGAAGTAATCCTTCATCATCTCCTTAATGACTCTTGGATGTAACCCATCTGGACCGGGAGACTTTTGTCCTTTCAATTTTTTAATCACCTTTCTTATTTTGCCCTTGGTTATATCCAGGTGTTGAAGAGCTGGCATGTCTTTCTTGTTGGCTGTTGGTATCCCCCTATCTGGTTCCTTGATAAAAACTCGTGAGAATTGCTCTGAGAGTACATCTGTCTTTTCTTGAGCATTCACAGTCTTCTGTACTTTTCCCCCATCCTTGTAAAGATCTGCAATTCTAGCTTTTGTTCTTGTTTTTGTCTGTACATACTTCCAGAACACTTTTGGATTTGCCTTAACATTTTTTGCAATCTCTTGTTCTTTGCATTTCAAGATGTTTCTAGTTTCCCATCTGACCTGGTTATTTAATCTCCTGTATTCCTTTTCAGTTTCCAGATACATCTCCCTTGTGCATGCTCTTTCATTGAACTTCGTTTTCATTATTTTCAGTCTCTCCCACAGTCTCTGTTTTTTCTTCACTTTAGCCCAGAGCTTCCTGTTCATAGGTAATTTTTCATTTGTTCTTTATCTGCTAACCCTCAGTCCTCTGATTATCTTTTTAGGGACACACTCGTCAATGACTGCCTGGAATTTTCTTTTGAACTTATTCCACTTACTTTCAATATCTGGTTCCAATGATAAGTATTGGATCCAGTCCATCGTAAGCCTTTGCTTCATCAGTAGGTAATCTGCTTTTTCTTACATGTACACTTGTTTTTTACTTTTGTCTTCCATCTCCTGTATGCCACAATGGAAATAAATACAGGCATGGTCACTCTTTCCCAGTGGACTCTCCAGCTTGATATCTCCTACTATACATTCTTCGTTACTGAACAAAGGTCAAGGGTATATTGCCTGTGCTGTCTCCTCTTATCCTGGTGATTTCCTCTATATGTTGAATGAGAAAGCAGTCCCGTACTTTTTCGATGAACATAGAACCAACATCATTCAGTCCCATTACAGAAGTATAATTACTCCAATTTATTTGTGGAAGATTAAAATCACCTACAATTATTTTATAAAGCACATTTTTATCATTGACTTCCTGCATAATTTGGAGCAAATTAGTATTATTGCTTTCATCACTATTAGGGCTTCTGTAAATGGAGGTAAATAGTAAATTACCACTACTACATGGCACTTCTATACAGCAATATTCACAAAACTTAGTATCAAGTTCAACACTGTAAAATTTGGTTCCATGCCTAATATATATTAACATACCTCTCCCTTC